ACGAAAAAAAAACTGAAATGAATTTCTTGACCCTCGCTAATACACGCCTTTTCCATTAACGTTACATTTTGAAAGCTGGATGAAATCTCCTGCTTTTTATAAAGTGGATCTGAAAATGTGTACTTGTATAAAGCGTGAAGTTATAAAGATCTGCATTCAATATGTCACGCTCGCGTTAAAAGTGTTTTTAGCATGAAAAAACAAAAACAAAAAACAAAACAAAAACAAAACAAAACAATAAAAAAGGCTCCTTTACTCTTCACCCAGCACTAACATTACTTTTTCAGGAAAAAGCTGAATCCGTACATGTCTGTATATTCAAACTCCATATTGCATCATGTTGTTATATCTACAGTTGTTTAATGACGCCAACGGAAATTTGTCTCCAAAAAAAAACGCACACGCACACCATTTTTTTTTTTTTTTTCAATTTTCACTTGCAATGGCGCGAATTAACTAGTGGCAAGAAGCTCGGGGATAACGTTGCTACTTATCTGAGCAGCTTAATTATATGATGACTTTTGTCAACAGTTCTAGTAAATGCGCAGTGCTGTGATCGCTGAAGGAAGTGCTGATTGAAGGCCTTGAGTTCATGTTAGTGATCTCCATGTGAACAATATCTATTTTTATGCAACATAGACTAGAAATTTAACAACAACAGGTAATAAAAGACATACAAGACTAGGTTGTTCAGAAAAACAAATTAAGTGTAGCATGAAGTGTTAAAGGTCATTCCATGAGTGAAAATTCAATGAATTCCGACTGCAGAAATGAATTGAAAAATGGAACTCCCACTCAAAAAAAATTCTTGAGATTTGATGCATGCGAATAATCCCCCCTTTCCGTAAGCGCCTTAATATTTTGCAGAAAATTTGGCTCGATCCCGTTAGTATATTCTAGTGTCTTAAATTGAAAACCCAGATAACTAAAACGAAATAGCCAATTTCAGTAATCACTAGTGGGTACGAAGAAACCGTCATTTTAGTTCTTCGACCAAAATTTATTATATAATAGTTACATTTGCAACCATGGTGACCGACCAATTTTTACCAGCTGACATTTCCTTATTTTTTTTCACGTATTTTGAAACTTTACTAATTTTTCCGTCTATATGTATGGGCTCAGCATGCTTTGTACATCAAATTGGTACAAGAAACTGTTTTGTAGTTTACAACGATAGAGTAAAGTCATCCAAGAAAACTCTACATCAGTCTTAATAAATAATATAAGTTGGTTGTTATTATTATGTTAAAAGAAATGTACAGTCTAACTGAATGCTCTCGATTTTTTCCTCATTTGTAACTTGATATTACAGATGGGATAATCATTTTTATACCTGACTTTTGGAACTATACCCATTTTTCTGCTCAATTAGTGTACCAGTTAAATGACCTTGAAGTACTGCTTCTTTGACTGTGCATAATCAGCTACTATAAGTCCTTATTCATGTACTTAAGATGAGATGATATTTTACACTTGGAAGTTTTTTCTCTGTGAGACATCAACTTGACACTTGGACTCTTGCCCCCTAGAAGACACGTGGTATGGCGTGATTCTGTGGGTACGTACGAGTTCTAGGTCAGGGCTAAAATCAGAGTTTCCGGATATTTTTTTATGAGAGCCTGATCTCTGGTTCTTACGCCATACTGACGAGCCCCGAAGAGGGCGAAACAGCTGTCTATGGCTACATCCCGCTCTGTTTTGAGTTCTTTCGGTGTCGTGTTGATGTCTTAAAGTTTCACGTAGTACGATCAGCATTGCAGTATTAGTATTGTAGAATTTAATACGTATCAGATATATAGACATGTACTTAGTGTTGGGTGCAAACAAAGGAAACGTTCTTTTTTTTTTCCTGATAAATACATTTTGTTAAGTAGGTGAGCATGACAAATAACCTGTGTAGCCAGCGTACACGCGAAAAAATAAAACAATTCCGCAAGCTACGCAGGCTACTAAACGTGACAAATTGAATGCAGATCATAGTCACGACACGCTTTTAAAGTGCTACAACGACGAAAATTTTTGTTTCTGTTTCCGAGTTTTTTTAACATAAATCTTTTGTATATGTTCAAAATTATACAAATAGCGAAAAATTGGAACGATACTTGCGTACGGGGGCTGGAAATTTCCCACTGAAAAGTGCGTAAATACCGTCCGCCATTACAAAGTTCGCAAAGCAATAGCCCGCGAGATTTCCGCAAAGCGGTCGTGCGTTTGACCACGTGGTTTATGCACTGTGACGTAGAAACATCAACCAAAAGATTCGCATTTGGCAAAAGTTTGTGAGTTTAGAGCCTTTTAACAAGACGTTTAAGATATCATCTCCGTCGGATTCCTCTTCCTGCACATCTGAAAGTGATCTAGAAAGTTTTACAGTAGACGAAGTGATGGGGGAATTGTCTGAATTTGCGCCGCACGACGACAGTTGCGAACCCCTTGCTACCGAGGAAGAAGCCGCGGACTACAACGAAAGAGTTCATCGCGAAGAAGAAAAGGAACAACAGTTTCAACGAAGATATTCGGGAGAGGTGCCAGCGAATGAATGGTATGGTATTATCATGGAATGTAGATTTATATTTTTATTTTCCAATTTCAACATACCCGTCGTTAAATCGTGCGCGAGACAAACGCGACTGTGTGTTTTGTTTAAGTTTACAATTTCGTTGCTATGTGATTAGCTGTAGTCCTGATTTTATGCGATAGTTTCATTGAAGAGGTCAGACAATTAATAATATTATAACAGACGTATTTTTCTTGTGTTTGACGAATTTTTCACATTATTTTGCTGGTGTTCGTGCTCGAACTACTCTATCAGCCTTGTTACAAAAGCGCAGGAGTGCATTTGCTGCAAAGAGATCGATCGCTGCGAAGAAGTCATGGAAGAAGCCATTGGAGACCGGACCGTATGCATAACCCTCCATCCAGGGTTTGAAAGTGTCTGCTTAAACCGCCACGTATTAGAAGTGGCTGCACTGGGCCTAAAAACGCGAGCTGGAAAGTCGTACACAACTGTTCGTGGGCAAAGCAACAAAAGTGATAATGAGTAAGCTGGGGTATTGTTGACTTTGTATCGGAACGATCGAACCTTACGTAGCATTGAGTAATTCATACATCTAAGCTCATCGCCGTGGACTGATCTCATAGAATCGCATTTTTTATTTTCTAAATGGCTTTATTGCCCCAACTGCTTATTTTTAAAAGGAGTATTTATTTATCTCTATCCAATCCCTCCTTGAATTAACAGTGATCTCATTTCTCTAACTAGATTCCTGAGGTCTGTGGCCTATCGCCAATTTACAAGACTGCTGTGGAGTTATATTGCTAGTTCCAGGCGATACCCCTTGCCCTGTTGTGCCTACAATAAAATCAGGAAACAATTTCCGAGTCAAAATGGCATTATCGTGAATTCGAAGATGAAGAAAATGAATAATAAATGCACTGTTTGTTCTTGAAGAGTGTCATGTATGCCATTGGGGCCAAGAAGGACCTACAGTAGTTGCTTGAATACTTGTCCGTAAGCAATTAATTTTATGGGCCAAAGTTCAGAATTCTCAGCCACTTACTCGCTTTTTGTTGAATGACAAACTTGCCCACTGTGTGAAGCCCTGTTCTTCTAGCATTCAGTTAAACTCAAGTTTAGTGGCTGGGAATTCTGATGTTGCTCCAATTTTCATGTACACAAGTAATAAAAATTAAATCAAATTCAGCCTGAATTTAATTACAGTTTTAATGTATCCTTTCTTTCTTTTCATTCGGCTCACAGAGCACTGCAAAACTTAATAGCAGGTTACCTGCTGGAAACTTTCCTAGCAGGTCTGGTCTTCCAGACTTTTGTCTGGCTACAGTTTCTGCAGAAACTTTCTATGGTTAACAAGGTACCTGCCTGTGATACAGAAAGTTTGGGTTTTGAAAAGAAGCACAAGTGGCAGAACTGAAACGAAAGAAGAAGTTTGGAAAGGAAAACAATCCCCTTAGGTTCCTCTCGAATGTTTTTTCCTTGTAGATCCAACCTGTAAAAAATGATTGAAAGGAGATACTCATTTAATCATAGCATCTGAAATAATAAAATAACAGTAAAAAAAATGATTATCATTTTTATTGTTTTTCTCAGGGTGTTGCCAGTTTTTCAACTTGTTGTAAACCTGGCTAATTGTGAGTTGGGATTTTATTCTCACATACATCCTGAAAAATGCTTTTTTGATAATAATTCTGTTGATTGCACACATGACAACTTTGAGCCCTTAAGCTATCTAGCCCACTCCAACGATGCATAATTTATTACAAGTGGTTGAGTGGACAAACCAAACATTTTTAGGCTTGGGACTTCCAGTCTATGGGCTGGCTATGCCTCTTCTTCTTTTTTTTTTTTTTTTTGCAATTCTTATCCGAGTAAATTAAAAAACAATTTTCATGTACTCTTGTTTTTAAATAGATCCTCTCATAATGGAAGTTAGTTTTAGGCCCAAATCACTTCCCAGAGGATACTTAGAGCTAAGATGTTAAAATGCAATAAATTTTGCATCTTTGTATCGTCTTCCTTTAGTTTTTTATATGCATCTTCGATTTCTTCAGGACTCCATGTAGGGTCTTCATCACACTCAAACTCCTCATACGCGTCATCCTGCATTTCCTGCTCATCTTCTGATTCATCCTCTAGCCCTATAAATCTGTCTCATTTGTTACTGGCCATGGATCAGTTTGAATAGCTTAAACAAATGGAATTAAAAAAATTCTATCACCATTAAAATTTTAATTATTATTAAATAATCAAATATTGATAAAATGTAATAAAAATATGAAGATAGGCAGTTATGCCTATATGACTCATCAACATCAATTATTGTTGACTCACCAGCATTCACCATCAGCAACTGCTTCGGCTCTTGTATGCTCTTAAAGGTTTCAACCCACTGATCTTGATTGGAGATTAGCTTACTCTTCAGTCTTGTGACTTTGCCCCTTAACTGAGTCACCTCACTCCTCAGGGTTTTGCATGTTGTTCAATTCCCAGCATGTCCAGTTGAAGTATCCTACAAAAAACAAACTTTCAACATTAACCCTTTAGGCCCCAATATCTATATGCAAATTCTCCAAACTGATCTCTATACATTTCCTTAAAGAATGAGTTGAGAGAATTTGATAAAAGGTCAAAGCATTTTCTCTTAGGTGATCATTTTATGAATTCTCATAACCTAATCTCTTGACATCGTATTGATATTGTTAGGAGAAAATTGATGTTGGTCACTATTGGGACTTAAAGGGTTAATACAGGCTGTAATAACAAGACTTTAGAATTCTTGTGTTTTAGTATTGTTGTAAAATAACTGCACATGCCATTGCTATGATAATACAAAGATGCAAATAAACATTAATTAGAGTTATGCGCCTACCATAGAAACCTGTTCAAGTTCAGGAATCGTTAATGATTCATCAATCTGCATAACTTCATCCATATCCTGCACTTTTTTGATTCCCTGAGCCTCCAGGATCTGCATGGTCTCAGTAACCTCATCAGTGCCTGAAATCCGTTGGCTCTCGAGAGCTGTCTTATCACCAGGAGTACCTAGGACCTCTGAAGCCATCTCAGCATCAACACTTATCTCATCCGTCTCAGTCTCAGGAATGCAGCCCTCCTTTTCAGGATTTGCCGCAAGCAAAGAACCCTGACTTGTATTCAGAACACCCTCGACTTCTGGAGACTCCTCAGGGTTGAGATTGGGAGCCCCCATAGTGTCAGCACTCTCCTCAGGTGCAGAAATTCCTTTCAAAGAGATCGCCTCTTCTTCAGGATTGTCTTCTTCCTCTGTATCCTCATTAGTAGTTTGACCAGCCAGAATTTCATTTAGTAGCTAAAAATGAAAATAGGTACGACCATTTTTTATATCTCCCCTTCAAAACAAGTTTAAATTTGAGCTTTATGTCGATGTTTTCAAAACTAGGAATGGAAGCAAGGTTTAACCACATCTTTGCCTTAAAATGTATGCATCATTTGCAGACAGTGAAAATAGAATTAAAATACAAACGAAAAAAAAAACCCGGAAACAATAACTGAACTTATAGAATGTAGAAATCAGACTAAGTTCATTTTTGGTCGTTTTAAAAGACTCGCGTGTAACTCTTAATTTGCTGTAAGATTTCTTGGAGGGAAGTTTGGAGTACTGTCAAATCTCAAAGTAACAGCAAGATAATCTCTCAAAAAATAGAGAGCCGGATTTCTATGTAGCTTCACTTTTTCTAAATTTTACGCTTGAGTGGAAAGGTCTGGGAATTGGGGAATTGACTTCACGTCCACTCAGCGCAAATGCCCGTTTTACTATAACTATGAGAAGAAAGCAGAAAAGTATGAAAACACATGCAACAATATGGGAAGTCCAAATAGTCAGAGCATTCATTACACGAATATTGAACAACGATGCCAGAAAAAATCATGTCACAGGTAAATGGGGAAATAAATATAATGGTGATAAGCACAGCGCAAATACATTGTAATTTCACTCACCGATCGTCGACTTCTCTTTGATAGTGTTTGAGAGGATTTTTTCCAAATGGTTGGAAACGTCCCCTTCTTCAAATTCCTTATCATGCCTTTCATCGGAAAAGCAAGCGTAAAACAATCCCTTGTAAAATGCTCCGAGCACACAGCAAATTTTACCACTGTGTTGAAATCCTTCCGATGAATGGACACGAACCTTTTCCACTTTAATCTAACGCTGCCCGAATCAGGAGAATTATGAATAGAAATCCCCAATTCATCGTTCTTTACGTTTCCACAGTCCTGAACAACACAACGTCTACCATGCATACTTTCGCTTTAAGTCAAAAAAGCGAAGAAAGAACCTCCAAAATCTTCCAAAAATACCTCGTCCTGCATGCGAAATTAGCCACGTTTGTTTGCCTTGTTTTGTCGCGTTGATGTTTCTACGTCACATCTCGCCCCAACTCCTTCAAATACTACTCCCGGTCATTTTTTGAATCGAGTAATGGCGGCAAGACATTTACGAAAATTGCCGTACAAATAAACACACTTCCAGATCATATTTGGACTCCAAACTTGGCACCGTAAGACACTTTTACATACATTTTCGAAATATGTAATCAAAAACAAATTCCCAAATTTGATCGTAGTAGCACTTTAAATACAAGTACACATTTTCAGATACTCCTTATAAAAAAGAGAAAAAAGGTCATCCAGATCACGAAGCCCTCAGTTATATTTTCCTTTGATTGAGTTGATGCAAAGGATATATGATTTAGCGAGAGTCGAGAAACTCGCTTCAGACTTTTGTACACGTAGATTTTCAGTTTCTTCTTAAAGTTGGGGATTATTTTGTTATCTATGGCAAAATGCCTCAACTGACAATGCTCTTCATGTTTAATTTTGAGTTTCTTGGTTTTATAATCCGTTGTCACTAGGTGCAGCATAGGCCCAATACTGATTCTAAGTTTTGAGGTTCTTTTTTAGTGATGTTAAAACAAATAGATCAACATGCGTCACGAGTCACTGAAAAATAAAGTAAAATTCAATCTTGAACTATTTATGACCCACCAACAGATAGTCACGTTAAATGGATACAGGTTCTTGGATGATCTGAATTCAACCAAATACTGAGCTTGCGATCGTCAATACTTTTTACAGGCTATTTGATTTGGGGTCGATTTATTATTATATCATTTGCAGCCAGTGCATGCGTCATGCAGCTATCGCTGTATATGTATACAGTATATAAAAGCACATTTACCGGTCTTGAAGTCAGGAACGAGGGTTTTGTCAAAATCCATTTAGAGTTAGTGATATCGAGTTAGTAGGGATTTCAGTGACAAGACAGTTAGTACGTAGAGCTAAAGGTCAGTCGAAATTCAGCTTCAAACAGTACAATTTAGATCCGTACTACAAAGTCGCTACAGTAAAGTTTTTTTTTTTCAATTTTTCGTTTTTTAGTGGATGACAGTGTTTGTATTGGATTCCCGCAGGCTTAAAGTCACGCGTGATTAAATTTATTAAAAATATATATATATCTTTTGTCGTCATCTTATACGAAGGCTCTGTGTAAACTATTTTTATTATAATACTATCATCAGCCAAGGTCCCTATGACTGGCACAGGCAACAATAATATCATTACAATTATTTCTGGCCCAAGACAATGTCTCCTTTTTCCTTCCTTGCATATATCTATGCGCGTAGGTTAATCCGGCCGGAACGGCATGGACTTAAGCATCAGGGCTTTCTGGGTGTTGGTTATGCGCAGTGAAGGAAGCGCTACTACGAGGTCATTCAATGCGCACTAATCCAGCAGAAAATAGGAAAATAGGTCTAAATTCTGGTGTGAAATATCATTTCATCTTAAGTATATGAATCAGGACTTTGTAATTGTTGATTATGCGCAGTAAATGGAGCACTGCTACGAGGTCATTTAAGGTAAATTAAATTAGAGCTGAAAAATTGGAACTTCAAGTGTAAAATATCATCTCATCTTAAGTACATGAATAAGGACTTATAGTAGCTGATTATGCGCAGTCAAAGAAGCACTACTTTGAGGTCATTTAGCCGGTATACTATTTGAGCAGAAAAATAGGTATAGTTCCAAAAGTCAGGTATAAAATATTATCCCGTCTGTAATATCAAGTTAAAAATGAAGAAAAAAAAGGCAGAATTCAGTTAGACGGTACATTTCTTTTAACATAATAATACCAACCAACTTATATTATTTATTAAGACTGATGCAGAGTTTTCTTGGATGACTTTACTTTATCGTTATAAACTACAAAGCATTTCTTGTACCAATCTGATGTACAAAGCATGCATGCTGAGCCCATACATATAAAAGGAAAAATGAGTAAATTTTCAAAATACGTGAAAAAAATAAGGAAATGTCAGCTGGTAAAAATTGGTCGATCACCATGGTTACAAATGTAACTATTTTCTATTAAATTTTGGTCGAAGCACTAAAAATAAGGTTTCTTCATATCCAATAGTGATTACTGAAAATGGCTATTTCGTTTTAGTTATTTGGGTTTTCAATTTAAGACACTAGAATATGCTAACGGGATCGAGCCAAATTTTCTGCAAAATATTAATGCGCTTACGGAAAGGGGGGATTATTTGCATGCATCAAATCTCAAGAATTTTTATTGAGTGGGAGTTCCATTTTTCAATTCATTTCTGCAGTCGCAACTTATTGAATTTTCACACATGGAAAGTTTGACAAAAATCTCAGAGGAATGACCTTTAACACTTCATGCTACACTTAATTTATTTTTCAGAACAACCTAGTCTTGTATGTCTTTTATTACTTTTTGTTGTTAAATCTCTAGTCTACGTTGTATAAAAATGGATATTGTTCAATTGTTCACATGGAGATCACTAACATGAACTCAAGGCCTTTAATCAGCACTTCCTTCAGCGATCACAGTACTGCGCATTTGCTAGAACTGTTGACAAAAGTTATCATATAATTAAGCTGCTCAAATAAGTAACAACGTTACCCCCGAGCTTCTTGCCACTGGCTAATTCGTGCCATTGCAAGTGAAAATTGAAAAAATAATGGTGTGTGTGTGTGTTTGTTTCGGAGGCTAAAGTCTCCAAACTTGTGATGGCGTCATTAAACAACTGTAGATATAACAACATGATGCAATATGGAGTTTGAATATAAAGACATGTACGGATTCAGCTTGTTCTTGAACAAGTGATGTTAGCGCTGAGTGAAGAGTAAAGGAACCTTTTTTTCTGTTTTGTTTTGTTTTTGTTTAGTTTCGTTTCGTTTCTTTTTTTTTTTTCACGCTAAAAACACTTTTCACATGAGCGTGACAAATTGAATGCAGATCTTATTAACTTCACGCTTTTAAATACAAGTACACATTTTCAGATACACTTAATAACAAGCTAGAAAAAATTCATCCAGCTTTCAAAATGTAAAGTTGATGGAAAAGGCTTGTATTAGCGAGGGTCAAGAAATTCATTTCAGTTTTTTTTTTGTACGTGTAAAATTTTCAGTTGTTCCCTGCTAGCAGAGGTCTCTCACGACGAGGCAAAAATGAGAGAAAGGAGAGAGTCTCTCTCCTTTCTCTCATTTTTGCCTCGTCGTGAGAGACCTCTGCTAGCAGGGAAGTGAGCAGCATTACTGGGATTGAGAATCTTCCATCTGACTTTGCATGCGGAAGCTATGGCCTCTGCTTCCGTCTTACCTAGTAGCCATGTCACCTGATGTTAGCCCAGTTTTCGCAGGTTTGCACTGAATAAGCCAGCCAATAGCTGTAGCTTTGAGCTGTCAGCTTTAAGAGGATTATCCTTATTCTCTGTATTAGAATCGTTAACTTGTACACTTTGTTGTTACACCACTTAAACGTTTTTGCCGTCAGCGTTAACATTAATAGCAAAAAGTGAAAGCCTGTGTATGATGAGCACTATCGAGCATTTTAGTGACTTTTTGGGGGGAGACAAAGCATTGTAATGGGAAAAATGGAGCAAAAGGCTGGGTTATTTTAGGGAAAAAAAGCGTAACGTACAAAAGCCTGGCCTTTCCCTTCAACTTACAGTCGAAGCTCTCGTAAGTAACCACCTCAGCGATTCGAAAAAGTGGTCGTAACTAGCGCTGGTCGCTTACAAGGGTGGTCGTGAGGAGAGCGTCGACTATACCTAAAAATGATGCCTGTCATCCATTGATTTCCATTTATTCCACCGTATTTGTCTCTTGACTAGTGGGTCAGTGAATTCAAACCAAAATATTCATAAAATAGCGCAAAACCTTTGACACCTTCCAACCAGTAGAATTTAAAATGCCTTCCTGATAGCTTGAAAACGCCTCTTTTTAAAGGCACCTTTTCCGCATTTTTGAGAACATCTCTTTCAACCGCAGAAAATATACCCTTTTGTGCATTTGATAGGAACATTCCTAAACGGAAAAAGGGACCTTCGCACTTTTGATGAGACTCGCTTGTAACCAAAACAGGTACTTTTTGCGTTTTAAAGGTTCGTTTGTTAAATTGAGAAACCGATGAACAATTTTGCCCCCTTTTTTATGAACTTAATTTTTCTGCTCTCAGCAACACTGTTCAACTAGCAGGTTTATAAAGTAGTAAAATTGTCGAAACCTTTCTCTGATTCTATTAACCCTTTAAGTCCCAATAGTGACCAAGATCAATTTTCTCTTAACGATATCCATACAGTGTCAAGAGATTTGGATATGAGAATTTATAAAATGAACACCTACTGCTTTGCTTTGATCTTTTATCAAATTCTCTCAACTCATTCTTTAAGGAAATATATAAAGATCAGTTTGGAGAATTTGTATGTGGATATAATGGGACTTAAAGGGTTAAAAGGTGTACTCAGGTGAATTAAGGAATGGGTCTCGGGAAATTTGTAGGGGGGTGGTCTGGTTCCAAGAGGATTCAACCTTTTCACTTAAAACTTGTAAGCCCATGACACTTTTAATTTCATAAAAGGGATATCAGTCTCATTTTGAATGATGGATTTTCTTTATCACGTGACTTGCGACAACTATTTTTTTGCTATTTATTTTGTTCCAAATTTACACCAGTCTATAAAGAAATTTGATTTAATTCAATTTGTTTGCTAGTTAAGACTATAAGTACAAGGTTTATGCAACTAATCGGGGTTTTTGTAAATTAACTGTTTTGTACAAACTGCCGGTAACGTTTCTTTTTTAAAGAGAGACTGGGGCGAGAAGAAAGCATTGAATAATTACCAAGGAATAAGATACTTTAAAATTCTCCGAATAATTTGACATGTTTAGCATTAAGCCTAATACAATACAATAAAAATTGACAACTTTTTAAAAAG